TATATATATATATATATATATATATATATATGTGTGTGTGCGTGTCCTTGCTATATGAAAGTATTAATTTATTTAAAATAAACTGACCCCAAATATTTAAATGCTAAAGTATATATTAATACAATTGTCATGTTTGTTCTTGTCATGTATTTGTTATATTTGTGTCAGATTGGAACAGGCTTCAAAGATGAAGATCTAGAGCAACATTACAATTTCTTAAAGGTAAAGCAAGATTTGCACTTTCTTGGTTTCCATGTTTGTATTCCTGTATTTATATATAAAGTTCAATGTCTTTATGTGCAATCCACCTCAGGAGCACATTTTACCTAAACCACGTCCATATTACCGTGTGGACCAATCAGCAGAGCCAGATGTCTGGCTGGAGGCGGTGCAAGTGTGGGAGGTGAAATGCGCTGACCTTTCACTGTCTCCGGTCTACAAGGCAGCGATGGGATTGGTCAGTACACCACGCACATGTGAATCATGAAGCTGAATCAGTGTTTTTGATGACTGATGTTTTTGTTGTATAGATCATGGTAACAGGTCTTAGCTCATTGTGCTTAACTTTGGCTCTTTATGGTGCCATTCTCTTCTTGGCCATCAGGTGGACCCAGAGAAAGGCATTTCACTTCGTTTCCCACGGTACCTCAGGATTAGAGATGACAAAAAGCCAGAGGATGCCACCACAGGGTCACAGGTAACATATGAAATGCAGAAAAACAAGGAGCAAGACACACAAGAGGAATTATTGTGTATTTAGTTAATGCATAGTGCTAATGTGAATACAGTGGCTCCGAAAGGTTTGAAAAAGTAAAGCAAAGATGTGTTTTGACATTGAAATGAGTAAGAAATACTTAATAAAAGATATAATATAAATAACTTATAAATAAATATATATAATCAATATTTCATTCATTTCTTTATAAATAAAAAAATATAGTAGAAAAAGCACAAGTGTAGGAGTCAACAGTAATTACCCCACATGGGACGTTCCTTTCAGAAGCAAATGTCGTAAGTGCATAATATATGGAAAATGCAGGATATGGCACCGTATGTGTGTGTGTGATGTAGTTCCATGGCATATGAGACAGGAAGAGTGAGATTTTAAAGTAGTTTTTCCTTCTGAAAGTCAAACGTGATGACATTGGCATAGTTCGGAGCTTCATGACATCGTGATTTAGTGGAGCAAGTGGAGTGGATCCGTTAAAGGAAATCCATCTTTTTACGCTCCACACTGTCTTTCTTTCTTTTCCCCCTCATTTTCACAGTTCATTTATTTCGGTTTTCTTTTATTCCTGTCTCCCGATGGTTGGAAACGCACAGGCACACAAACACACCCTCTCAAAATGAACTATTCTGATCTCCTGCATCAGTCTTTCTCTCTTTCTCTCTTTCAGATTGCAGATCTTTACAAGAAACAGCAGCAGATTCAAAATCAGGGTGAAAAACAAGATCTGGAGGACTACTATTGATCGCTGAGCTCTGATTGGCTCCTGATGTCAGCTTGTCTTATTCCTATTGGGCAATGGAGCGTTTTTCAATATTTTGTTGCATATTAATGTGCTGAATTTTAATGCTGTGATATTGTGCGACTTAATGAAAAATGGAAATGAACATGTAAATAAATAGTCTTTCAATGATGCGGAGCTAAAATAAACTTGCTTTTCACAAACTGACTGCCTTGGGTGTTTTTCCACCAGTTTTTGTGAATGTTTTTGCCTTTTGTTATGTCTGTTTTGTGTACTTTGCATGTGATCCCTTGGGTTCATAGTTGAATTTCTCACATTTATCAGCTTATGAATGCCCATCAATAGGCCATTTTAAGTGTGTATCTATGCACAGACGATCATGTGAGTGCATATTCATGTTGAAGTGTGTATCTTTAGCGTTGTGGGTTTCCAATGAATTGGGCAACGGATCTATTGTCAGTGACCAAAGATGGAAAATTAAATTATCCAGCTCTTTCTTTCCATCACTCGCTTTTGTACTCTCCATTGCTTCCTTCAAAAAATTCCCTTTCTCTTCTCCACTCTTTGCTCACCCTCTCTGAAATGAGCCTGGCAGGTTTTGACACTGCTTCTGTCAGAGTTAAGTCTGTAAAGAGAATTTTAAAGTGTTGCTGTGACAGTCTAGTAATAGCGAGCATTCGTGGGAGAGGCTTCACCCATCTGTGGAAGTCTTTGAGAAAGGAATTGCAATGAATTAATACAAGTTTAATTAATGTGAAATTAATACAGTATTAATAATTCAACCGTTAGCGCTCATTAAAATAGCCCATGAGCTGAATGTACTTGCTTGGTTTGGATTGCAGATAAGAGCATTGATTTTAAGAGCCTTGACGCATTCGGCTAAATGACTCTGCTGTTCATTAGTAAGGGGTTGTGTTATAACCACATGTTTTTATTAACTGGAATCTAAGAACTAAACCAATCTAGTCATCCTAATATATACACAGGCTGTGCTCAGAATGGCAGTATGCAGTATGTTTACTGAGAGTAACTGAGAGTTGTTTTAGTGTTATTTACAATGTATATTGTTTATTAATATTATTGAATTGTTTTTAACTTTAGTCTTTAATAATTTGTTGTGCTTTTATAAATTATGATGTTTTTTTTTCTGTTCAGCTTAAATTTAGTTTTTTTTCTTTTCTTCATCTAACACTGGAGATCTTCCTATAATGCAATGTGCTTGACTCCATTTCTAATGTGAAAACGTTGATTATTTGCTTGGACTCCCAAAAATAAAGACGTTTTTACACAAAAATGTAATACATTTTTATTGTGTACTTTAACGTTCTAATTTTAAACAGTTAACACTGTGCAGTATGCTAATCTGAGAATAACCATGCATTATTCGTGTTTTGTGTGGTTTTATTTTTACTAAATAAAAACAAGCACTTTTTTTATTTGTTTAAGCTGTTTCAACTATACAAATTGTATATTTCTGTATGGACAAAAATAGTTTATCTTTTGTTTCACAGAAGAAAGTTTTGGGATGACATGAGGGCGAGTAAGTGATGGCACAGTTTTAATTTTTTTGTAAAGTATTCCTTTAAATTTGAGTCTTGCTCACACGTAAACATTATACACTATTCTATGAATTCAGAAGACTTCTGGAATATATCCTAGCGTACGAGTCATCTGGACCACATTTATGATGGTTTCATCTGTCCTTTTTGAAGCTTGAAAGCTTCGGTACCTGTTCGCTGTAATTGTATGGACGAAAGCTACCAGATTCGTGTTCATTTTTCCTTTTATGATCCAAAAAAGAGACATATACGTGTTTGGAATGACTTGAGGGTGAGTAAATGTTGATAATTTTCATTCTTGACTGCACTATCTCTTCTGGGCTTGTATTCCTTATGTATGGACCAGAATAAGTGTGTGCAAGTGCTCAAAGGTTTCGCTGCCAGACTGTTTCCTCAGGGTAAATAAACCGCTCTCCACCCAGAGGACCGCGTGTGTGTCATGCTAACTTATCAGCAAACAGTCTCAAACACTCCCTGAGAGTGTTGTAGGTCACAAAATCATTGGAATGAGTCAAACGAGGCCCGTTCTCTGTCTTCCTCCATTGACAGGGGCAGAGAGAAAGTAAAACACCACATTGGCCCCAAATTTCTCTCTCTCTCTCCAAGTTCCTCACTCCTACTCCAGCACACGGTTCCTCAACACAATAACTCATCTTTGAGTCCAAACAATGCTTTTGTTCTCTATTTTATGCCCCTCCTCTGCATCCCTTCATCTCTCTCCCTGCATCCCTTGTTTTGGTGCTCGCTGTGACATCCCTGCCATGTGAGAACAAGAGCCGAGGGTAGAATGGAGGGAGGCAGAAAAGACAGATCGCTTCTTTGTCCCGACGTGACCCAGCTGAATGTCAGCTCTGTTGCCATTAGGTGTGTGTGTGTGTGTGTTTGTGTGTGTGTGTTGCTGCCACAGTCGATGGCTTGGGTTTGATGATGTCAGACAGTTTTTAGGGCTCCTTTGCTGTGGAGTGTGTGTGGATGTGTCTACTTGGTGACATACATAGGCCTAATGTCATCAGATATAATGTACACTGCATGGCTTAAAAAGTATTCATACAGTGAAACCACTTAAATAAATACTGTATGTAAGAATGTGCATTGCATGTTTTCATTTGTTATATAATTTTATTGCATTATATAACAAATGATATAATTTATCAAAACTAGTGGCATTTAGAGTGATCATACTTTAAGTAAAATATTTTACAAAAAGAGGTTTATTAGATTTAAAATAAAACAGTTCAAAATCAAAACAACAGTACTACATTGTGACTTGTCAGTTTTAGTATCATTGAGATACTATAGATTTTATTAATATTTTCAATATTTTTTTCTTCAGTTTTCATGTTAATTTTAAAGTTTTAGTAATTTATTATTATATTCAGAACTCTATGTTCTTTGTGCTCGGATAGGTTAGTCTTAATTTCCCAAAATGCTCAGCATTTGCTTTGAGCCTCTTTTAGGACAGTTTATGTGTTGTGAGACTCTATTGTGTCACTGTTTATTTTCAGCTGTGTGATGTGTGTGATGCCATTAGTGGCCTGACTGTGAACATTTGTCTTACATTTTAGTGTTAAACAATGGCTTTTCTAACTTTTCATTGCCATGGACCACAAAATATAATGACCTCCTTTCTAAAAAATAAAAACAGCTACATACATTTTGTGCATAATTACCCATTTATGCTGTTTTTGTGAAGATAATAATACGAAGAATAAGTTACAGGTAAAATATTTAAATAATATCTGATGTTTGTGCGATCAGTTTTTTTTTTGCTTTATTTTATTTTATGAATGTCACCTTTGTTGCTAGTAGGCGTGTTTTTGATGTCAGACAGCTTTAAGTTTTTTTTGTTGTTTTTTTTTTGTTTTGGACTGTGTATGTGTGTATTTGGGGATATAGCCTAATTGTGATAATATATGTGACCCTGGACCACAAACCAGTCATAAGGGTCAATTTTTCGAAATTGAGATTTATACATAATCTGAAAGCTGAATAAATAAGCTTTCCATTGATGTATGTTAGGATAGGGCAATATGTGGCCAAGATACAGCTATTTGAAAATCTGGAATCTGAGGGTGCAAAAAAATCAAAATATTGAGAAAATCGCCTTTTAAAGTTGTCCAAATGAAGTTCTTAGCAATGCATATTACTAATCAAAAATTAAGTTTTAATATATTTACAGTAGGAAATTTACAAAATATCTTCATGGAACATGATCTTTACTTAATATCCTAATGATTTTTGGCATAGAAGAAAAATCAATAATTTTGACCCATACAATGTATTTTTGGCTATTGCTACAAATATACCCCAGCGACTTAGGACTGGTTTTGTGCTCCAGGGTCACATATTATAGTTAACATTAAAATATTCTCTGATGTCACTGCTAACTTTCACAGCCATAAAAATTATTTTAGTTTGTTTTAATTTATTTTATTATATGAATGTCACCTCTTTTTTCTAGTAGGTGTATATGTTTGATGATGTCGGACAGCTTTAAGTTTTTTGTGATATAATTATGATAATATAAAGAATATATTACAGTTAACATTAAAATATTCTCTGATGTCACGGTTTACTTTGACAGCCATAAAAATATTTTATTTTAATGATTTATTTTTTGTTTTGTTTTGTGTATGAATGCCAGCTAAAACATCAATATATCTAAAAAAACAACAACAACAAAAAACAAACAAACAGTGATAATGTTTTCAGTATGGTTGATATAAAATGACCTTCCCATCAAAACTCCCTGACAAATCTTTACGGTGTTTTTGCATATTTTTACAGTCATTTGTAAAGATACTTTCAGCAGTATATAAAGTAGATATGCAATCATTTCAGTTCCATTTCACATTAGTCTTCAGTGGTTTATTCTCATGTATACACTGCTGCTTTTTTGCGTCTGTGCGTCACACACATACACAGTCATCTCTTATCTTTTCTCAATTTTCTCTCTTTCGCAGGTTTTTCACCAGCCTGTCTTTCTCTCCCCGCGCTCATTCTACAGCTGTCACTCAAGACTGTGTGTTCCAGTAGCTCTCATTTGGGATTCAGCTGATGGCACATTTTGATTGGTCCTGCTTTCAAAGTCAAACCCAATGTCAACACTGTGGTCATGCTCTTTGATTTCCATCCGTATGCAACAAACATGTCTAATATACTCGCATTAGCGTAAACCCGATTGCATTGCCTTGTTTATGCATTCTCATCTTTGAGTTATGTATTCTTATTTGTCCGTTTGTTTTTAGTTGTATCTCCTCCAGGATTGCAGTAAATTGGCCAGAAATGCCTAAACTGGCATATTTGCAGAAATGTCTAATAAGGTTCACAGTCACAGTTTCAAAAGAAAGGGAGAAGGGACCCGTAACCTTGGAAACCAACGGGAATGTCATATTCGGCTGCTTTTGTTATCTGACGTACTGGCCATATTATTACATTTCTCAAGTTGAGTAAACTGTCATTAGTTGCATTTTTAATGTGCATGTATTTATTTTTACTTTATTATCTAGCCTGTTAGTTTGCTTAGCAGCAAATGGTAAACTGTCAAACTAGTTATTCCCCTATAAACTCATCAAAAACTATTTCAGTGATACTTTGATACTGTACATACACTACTGCTCAAAGGTCTGGGCTCAGATTATTTCTTGAAAGAAATTATTACTTTTATTCAGCATGGACACATTAAATTGACTTTTAAGCTGTTACAATTATTTTTTTGTTTTTTTACATTTCTGTTCATCAAAGTATCCTATAAAAAGTATTATGGTTTCCACAAAAAAAATATTAAGCAGCACAACTGTTTTCAACATTGATAATAATAAAAAAACAGCAGAAAAATCAGCATATTAGAATAATTTCTGAAGGATCATGTGACACTGGAGACTGGAGGCTGAAAATGTAGCTTTGCATCCCAGGAGTAAATACAATTTTAAAATATATTCAAATAGAAAACACTTACTTTAAACTGTAATATTTTTTTTTCACAATATTACGGTTTTATTGTATTTTTGATCAAATAAATGGTTCCTTGGTGAGAATGCAAGTATTTGCAAGAGCAAATACAAAAAAATATATATATATCTAAAATTAATAATATTTTCAAACTGATTTAACATTTTCATCAGCTGAACTGGTTTAACTTTTATTTTTTCTCTGCAGGAAAAGCTATGCTGCTGAGGATAATTAATCAGTTGAGTCGGTCGACTAATGCAGTTTTTCTGGTTATGAAGGAAAGGTAAAACACGTTTGAAGTTTGTGATGTACACTGTACATTCAAAAGATGCCAGATTCTTCTTCAAAATGGTCAGTTTTATCATAGCACTATGCCAGTGACCTCATATCGACTCATGTGTTTATATCTCTCTCTCTAATATGTTCTGTCCGCTTTAATTCCATTTTACTGGAATAAGAGGAGTGGGTGGGAGACTGGAGGAGGAAAAGAATGCAAACCTTTGTCTACAGACACAACGATGGTGGAAGAGAAAGAAAGCAGCTCTAAATTAGATCCGCCCGCTCACCCCATGTCTTTCTGTCTGTCTCTCTGTATTGTTGTGTCTGGAAGACGTCAGCAGAGGAGAGGAATCTGAAGAGAGGGAGAAATGGAAAAAGAGAAGGATGAAGAAAGAGATGTCTTTGTCTCATCCCATAAACGTGTCCTGGTGAAAGAAAGGGCAGTGAGAGGAGAAACAGGGTCAGGAGGTGACTTTCTCTCTCTCACTGTCTTTCTTACTCTCTTGCCCCGTCTTTCTTTTCTCCTTGATGTGATATTGTTATCATCATGCATTCATTTCATTTGTTTGTTGTTAAGGGGATAGTTGTTAAAGGGTTTGTTCATTCCTGTAGCCCAAACAGTAGAGCATAGCGCAATCAAAGCCAAGGTCATGGGTTCAATTACTAGGGAATACATGAACTGAAAGATGAATATCATTATGCGGTGTATGTCGCTTTAGATGGCGTGGCTGCCGAATGCATAACTATGTAATGATTCATTCACTGTCATGTCATTCCAAACTTGTATGACTTTCTTTCTCATGTGGAAAAAGAAGATATTTTGAGAAATGTTTTATGACCATTTCTCAATGGTAATAAAACATTTCTCCTTTCTTTCTGAAAAATGTTGAGAAAAGCTTTATAACCATAAAATGGAAGTAAGTGTTAAATAATTACAGACAGTGAGTAAATAATTACAGAATTACAGTGCAACCGTTTATTGAACCTTTAGCTTATTTATATTAGCCATCATATTTGATACATTTTGGATTTCGGACTTATGTAACATAAAGAAAACACCTCCAGAAAATTATTTTATTATTTATAAAATTATATATATACTGTATATATATAAATATTTATATGGCCAAACAGTGAAGATAAAATTTCTGATACTTTGTAATATAAATAAATGAGATGTTTATAATAGTATAATGGATTACTTGCATAAAATGCATATAAATGAGTTGTTACTCGATATTTCCCAATATTATGCCTTATTCAATATGTAAAAGCTCTGTAGACATCATTGTGGGGGACAAAACATAATGCAAAACAACGATGATCAACAGATGTACAAATAAACATTCTTCAAAAGCCTGATGAATCATATTTGATACTTTTAACATAATTTTTGTTTTAAAAAAAAGTGCATTGGAGATATTTAATCACATAAACCTAAGTTGCTTCAGTCCAGTAAATGTTCATCTTGAAATATTATTTAATCTTATGTTTACATTATGAAAATCCTTTCAGATTTCACTGCAAAAACAAATGTACCACAGCCTGAAGGTGGATATTTTTACAATTAAAAGCTGTTTTACTTACTAAAAAATATCAACTATAAGTCAAATGACAGAAGGGATGTCGTAGATTTTTCAGTTGCATTGATCATGTTGAAAATTTAGAGGCCTTAGAGATTCATATATCAAACATAATACAGCAGGCTTTATAGGGTTAAAGATGAAGTGTTGGTCCAGTTTAATGTGCAAATTATGGTAGGTCGATTCCTCCGATAGTCTAAACACCATGGTGCTTTCAAAACATTGCTTTGCCAACATTGGCTCAACCATTTGGCTTGAATTTAGGACATTAAAACCTGTTTGTCCGAATAATGGCAGATGGGGGGAATGGTCTGTAAACCAGTTTCCTGTTTTGAGTGGCAGGCAGATGGCGACCGAGTCAGGACAGGTGAGATGGAAAAGACCTGCAGCTCATTGTGTTTTCAGACCGGCGGCTTCTCCGGGTATGTTTTGTTTATAGAGTCGAATCATCAGCATAAGAGAGGAAGGATTACAGACAAACAGCACTCAAGCGTGACAGGATAAGGAGAAGGGAGGTATCAGAGTATTAAACCACAGATACACACACACACACACACACACACACACGCTGAACTCCAAACATAATCTGACTCACTTAGAGATTGTCTTTCTTTAATGCTGCAATGTCTTTGTCCTTCAAATTTGATCTTTCCTCGTCAAACAGATGCTGCGATGCTTTTATAAACTGGCTGGAGAGTGAGAGAGAGGATTCATTCTCAGGTTATTGTATCACTTGTCCTTTCTATATCGTGTTCATAGACTGTCTTTTAGAAGGAGACAAAGAGAGGGAGCGAGAAAGACTATCATGTCAGGGACGGGGCCAAAGAAAGAGAAGGCAAGAGATAATGAGGTGGTGGAGGTGGGGCTTAAGTTTGGGGTGTGGTTGGGTATAAAGTCCAGGACTGAATAGTCTCATCTTGATGCCCTCTAGTCTCATTGCCTTCTTCCCTCCATCTCTTCTCCTTTCTCCATCCCTCGCTCTCTCGGAACCCCTCACATACTGACCTGCGGGGAGATCGGAGGGAGATCATGCTGTCTGTACTGGCACTGACGTCCGTGGTGCTCTTGGGCATAGGTAAATACATTTCATCCATCTTGCATTTCATCATTTTGTGACAACAAAGCAAACAAACTAACTTTGAAGCTAACCAGAAGTCCTTCTCATAAGTGGCTATACAGTATGACTGAATTACTGTACGTTCAGACTCACCTGTTGTTTGTGCACCTATTGCCTACCTGTTCAAAATTTGCCAGGTTTGAGAAATGACGTAGATCAGAAAAGACTGATCACACAGTCAGAATATAGAGACTCTTTCCTTAATTTTTACTGCTGTTTTCTGTTTTAAATAGAACCTTTTATTCTTTTAATTATATATCTAAGTCTTTAGTTCTTTTTTTATTTGTTTTAATTTGTATTTGTTTCTTTGGTTTTTCTAATTTTACAAAAATATTAACTAGAATAAACTGCAGTATCAAGGACATTACAAAAACAAGCATTTGTTCTTTTTTTTCTTGTGAGTCAAGGTTTATTTTTGTATCAGTTGTCTATTCAATGAATTTGAGCTTTTGTAATACTTTCTAACGTGTACAGTACTTGAAATGCTTACTCTACTGAATATATTAACAATACAAATGCTGTTTTATGTTGTCATATTTTTTAGTTTTTATTATTCCAAATTCTTAAAAATTATATATATATGTATGTTAGAAGGAGACAAAGAGAGGGAGTGAGACAGACTATCTTGTCAGGGATATATACATACAATCATAATTTTTTATGTATAAACTTTTTAATATACTTAGTTACTTTTTTATGGAGTAACGCAATATTGTAATGCATTACTTTTAAAAGTAACTTTCCCCAACACTGTGTATATATACATAATATGTAATGTTCAATAAATTGAGGAAGTAAGAAAAATTCAGTTTAATTTATGATCTAATTGTTTACTTTATTTGATATTTAAATTTTTTTTATTTGTGCAAATTAATATTTCTGTGGCTATAATTGAAAAGAAATCCTTAGTGACAAACTGTTGACTTTTCAAGCTTCAGAGATGTTCTTTAGAATTAAAATTATTATTTGCATTTCACATCTCTAACTTTACGGTTTTATTCATTTTTTTTTTAGATTTGTATCCCCATGTGGCTAATATTCCTGACTCTGTGCGTTTGTATGCTCCAGCCTCTCAGACCACGGCTATAGTTGTGTACACAAGCTGGGAGAGACATGCGCTGGTGGGCACAGATGTCAGACTCTCCTGCTCTTTCTTCTCTTGGAAATGGACTTCTCCAGACGTAACCTTCTCATGGCACTACCGTTCAGATGGGGCAAGAGACAGCATCGCTGTGCGTAGAAATGCAGAAACTCACTATTTTAACACACACCTACACCTTTTCTGGTCAACAGTTATGTGAAAGAAATGATTTAAAGTGATAGTTAACCCAAAAATGACATTTTAAATAACTCAACCCATATAGCATATTGTAGCATGGAACACATATCTGGCAGAATGTCCAGGCTGCTCTTTTCTTTACCCAGGCCCCCCATCCACTTTCATCGTATGTAAAAAAGGGGCCAGCACAGACTGCTAAACATCTTTTTTTGTGTGTTTCTTTGCAAGAGAGAACGTTATACAGGTTTGACAGAACATGAGTGAGAATAAATGACAGAATGTTTGTTTTTGGGTGAACTTTCTCTTTAAGATGTTGTGTCTATACAGACAAACACACACGAAACTAACGAACAGAACATTTTATAATAAATGAATTGACTAATCTGCAGATTAACTGCACTGATTTAATTTGAGATCATTTATTTTTTAAACGTCACACTTATTTCTGAATAGTCAAGCATTCTTCAGCAAACCAAGGCAACAAAGGCACATCAAAAGAAGGACTTTTTCACGTCACATAACTTAATTTGACTGGATGCCTTATTGTAGGTCTATATTCCAGGATATCTGAAAAGAAAATTAAAAAGGCAGTGCTTGCTTGAGAGCAGCTACTTCAGTTTCACAAGTTTTTAATTATTATTTTAATTTGCAATTACAGCATGAGGCCTCATAATATTAATTTAGTGTGATTGCATTTCCCTAAACCTGTTAAAAGGTGTATGCACTGGTAGTGTAACTCACATATCTGTATGAAAACATGCCCACCCCATGGGAATATCCTTGTGTCTGTGTGGTTTGTAGAGATAATTACCTTGCAAACAGAAATATTAGTTCCTTGTGGGTGTAGTTCTGCTTTCCAAATTGTACTGTACCGTGCAAGTCCTTAAGTTGGCCAACCGGCTGCATTTATTTCTGGATGCTTTTTCATACAGGTAATTCTAGTAGTTCAAAATCTAATGCTACGCAGTGGAACAGAGTGAATTGAATAGCATGACTTCATTTAATTTGTAAATTAGTTTATCAGAAAGTGTAATTTGATCAAAAATTATAAATCTGTAAAATCACATTTTCCACTGTAAGTAGCTTTTCTGTGAAAATTCTCGGCTTTCTTTTTAACTGATGCATTTGATATAATCAAATCTAATATAGTTTTACATTTTATGATAAGATATAGGATGATAATATAAGCTGTCTATCATTATTTAGATTTTCCACTACACAGGCGGAGTACCCTATGTGGATAACAAAGGCCCGTTCCGGGACCGTCTGGAATTTGTGGGGAACCCCAGTCGCCGCGATGGTTCTATCCTGATCAAGAACGTCGACATTGCAGACAACGGAACCTTCACCTGTGATGCCAAGAACCCACCTGACATTGCTGGCAGCCCCTCTAACGTTCGACTGCTTGTGTTTGAGAATGGTAACAGATCACTTTGAACATTTTTGTCTTCATCCACTAACAAAAAATGATTTTAAGAACCAAAAATGGCTGCTTTGCAGAGAAACGTGCTGCACAAGAAAACCCTTTGCTTTCCTCTCATGCTGCAGTTACTATCAAGACTGCTTTTTGCCTTTAGGCCCATCTTATTCCAGGGTGGCATACAAAATCTAGGAGATCATATGGCAGGAGATGAAAGTTTGCTGCTAATGGAAGCACAAAATAACAGTAAAGCAGAGAGACCTGAGTGGTTTCCTTGTGTGGTCGTACATTTTTTCTGAGAGTACAATTTCCATGAAAAGTAGCCATTGTTGAATCCAAATGCCTCACACAGAGCCTAATTCATAAAATAAATGCCTTTTTGCACAGGTGTTTTTGATTTTCCTCTTTGTTTCCCTTTTAAAAGTAAATTTAACTTCTCAGTGCGGTATTAGTGGGGGAGATGAAAGTTTGCTGCTAATGGAAGCACAAAATAACAGTAAAGCAGAGAGACCTGAGTGGTTTCCTTGTGTGGTCGTACATTTTTTCTGAGAGTACAATTTCCATGAAAAATAGCCATTGTTGAATCCAAATGCCTCACACAGAGCCTAATTCATCAAATAAATGCCTTTTTGCACAGGTGTTTTTGATTTTCCTCTTTGTTTCCCTTTTAAAAGTAAATGTAACTTCTCAGTGCGGTATTAGTGGGATATGTCGAGGAAAAAATGAGAACATTTCCAGGTGGACATTGATTGATGTTGTTTGGAGTTATTTTTCAGTAATATAGTCGTGTCTGTAAAAACCCACACCACACAAAACAGGTGCATTAAGGCAAAGACACAATGCAACTAATAGATCAGTAAAACTGTAGAGGAGCTCTTTAATCTTGCTTCTCACTTTATATTCTCTCTTTTTCTCTCAGTTCCAGTCCAGGCTGGTGTGATAACAGGGGCTATTATTGGCGTAGTGTTGGGACTGCTGATCCTCATTGTGGCAATTTACTATCTGATGCGTTTCCTGGTCGCCAGACGAGTGTTCAGCTTGAGCATGAGGTCAGTCTGGGAGCATCTGCTCCCTCAAGCCCGACCCGACCCTCTGCCCGGCCTTGACACACATACTCCTATTCACACACACACGCTTACCACGACACAACCCAGATCCCCACCAGTCACACACTCACACAAAAACACACGTCATGAGCAAGGCATCGACAGAACCCCCAACCAAACTGGGGACTACTAAGTCACCTATTCTTGCATAGCCATACTAAATGCACAACTATTTTACCAAGAACTGCACATATTTGAGCAACCAACTGCTGTTTGTTTTGTTTTTATATGCCTGTCCATTATAGTCTTCCATAAATATTACGTATTAATGTACAGTAACTCAATATAGTGTTCTACTTGTAAATGACAAACTTTAGCAAATCTAGTGATTAGTTCTTCGATTGAGGTGTTTGTTCTATCAACTTTGAACAACTGTTCAACAACTTGTCAACTGTAAAAAAAATAAAAATAAATAAATCAGAGTACCTTCACAACATTAACAAGCAGTTGAGTCCTCCTTCCACCAGGTGGCCACATTGTTCATGCAATTTTTGTATTTTTGTCCCCTTAGTAAACATGGCAAGAAAGGCAAAGGAAAAGAAGGATCACAGCAAAAACAGGCAAGTGACCCCCTGCGTCCACTCTAAGCATGCACACAAACACACACACACACACACACACACACACACATTCACATACACACACACACATGCTTGCTAGTTTCTTTCTCCTGCCTCCTGTCCTCCAGTGGTCTCCCCCTCTTTTGTCTGTGGTTAGTTTTGACCAAGATCCTTTTTAAAACAAGTCTGTCCATTTCCACACACTTCCAGTCAAAAGTTCAGAATATTTATATTCTTATGCTGACCAAGGAGGAATTTATTTGATAAAAAATACAGTAATTTGTTAAATATTATTACAATTTAAAATAACTATTTTCTGTTTTAATATATGTTAAAATACAATTTATTCTTATCATGCAAAGCTGAATTTTCAGCAGCAATTACTCCGGTCTTCAGTGTCACATGATCATGAAATCATTCTAATACGCTGATTTGGTGCTTAAGAAATATTTCTAATTATTAGCAATGTTGAAAACAGTTGTGCTGCTTAATATTTTTGTAAAAACTGTGATACAATACTCAAAGGTTTGAGGTAAGTAAGATTTGTTAAAAATTAATTCATACTTTTCTTTAGCAAAGGTGCATGAAATTGATCCAAAGTGACGGTAAAGACATAATTCAAGTAAGTGCTGTTCTTTTGAACTTTCTATTTATCAAAGAATCCTTAGTGGGGGGGAAATTCCACAAAAAATATTAAGGAGAAAAACTGTTTCCAGTGATAATAAGAACCATTATTAATAATTGAGCATGTATAATAACTGAGCACCAAATCGGCATATTAAAATGATTTCTGAAGGATCATGTGGCACAGAAGTAATGGTTGCTGAACTGAGGACTGAAGTAATGGTTGCTGAAAATTCAGCTTTGCCATCACTGGAATAAATTACATTTAAAAAAATATGATTAAATAAATGCAGCCTTGGTGAACATACACTTCTTTTTTTTTCAAAAACAAAAAAAATATTCTTAATTATTCCAAACTTTTGACTGATAGTGTATATTGGGCTTAATTAAGGCTTAACCAGATAAAATAATATAATAAATATAATAAATTAAACTGTAATATTATTATTTTTTTAATAAAATAGTAATTATTTATAAATATTATAAATTTTATAAATATAAAAATAAATATAATAAAATAAATGTAATGATAAAAATAAGCAATAAAGAAGTGTCAGGTTCATGGAAGTCGAAACTCCAATTAAAGCTACATCTACCTCAGTGTTTGTGCTCCTGTCTGCATGCCAGTTTATGAAGCCTAATTTACAATGCATGTAAACATACTTGTAATCCAGTACATGTCTAGACTAGAGTAGCTGCACCTCATCAAAAATAGAAGCAGGGGAGATTTGGGATATAACATTGGTGTCAAAACTACATTTGTTGAAGGATGCAAGCACACCGGCAAGTTTATTGTTGCTACATATACTGCAATTGTGTGCAATAAGCCATGTGGGGAAATATATATATATATATATTAGGCTACAGTATAACAATTCTTAAGATACCAATGGGATGACATTAAAGGTTAAACCAAAATGCAGAAAATGGAAATTGATTTGTGGTCCAGATTTAAGAATTCATTATCACTCTCGGCTCTTCCCTATGGTCCTGTGGACTTAGGGATCACCATATCAGTGTCATTGAGCTGGCAGTCAAATGGAGCTCATACATCTTTTTCTGTGCTAACGTGCCATTCATTTACATACCACCTTACTTTTTTTTTTCTATCTCTCTGGGTTTATTTTCTTCTGTGCACTTTTCCATGCCATTATCCTTCTCTTCCTTCATATCACTGATTTTTCTCCTCTAGCTGTCTCGTCCCCTCCCTTTCCTGCTGTCCTCCGTTCTCTCCACAGGTGAACAGTAAAATGCTGTCAGACTGAATCATGTATCTGCTTTAATCATATATTATATAATGACAAACACCATCATGTACAATCAAGCCACTGCCTTCCTCACACACATCTAATCTCTTACAGGATCAAACTAGCAGATTTCCAATCTTGTATTGTTTATGTTCTTTCTGTCTTTATTGCCTTTCTTCTTTCTTTCTTTCTGTCATCGGTTTCAGTATACGCTCCTCTATTTGTGCTCCTCTGTGTGCGTCTCCTGTCAGCTTCACTCTTTCTCTTTCACTTCTTTATTTTCTTGGTTCTGTCAGTGTAAACCCAGTCCACCCTCCAATATCCAGTGAACTGAATGCAGGTTGATAAAGATTCTATGGGCTGCAGACTAGAACTAAGATCTCAGGACTTTAAAATCCCATAGCAGAAACTTGCTGTATAGTTTTACATGAGTTTAAAGTGTATTTATATTACAAAAGCAGTAAAAAAAAAAAACTAAACCTTTCTGTGACCTATTTCTAGATTTGATGTCACAAAGAACTTAAAGGAATATTTTTGGGTTAAAAACAAGTTAAGTTCTGTCAACAGAATTCTAAATTCTGTGGTAATCAAGTTTAACTTGTATTTATTCTGGAATATTCCTTTAAAGGTGAAGTGATTAATTTATGCACTACTAGTAGCATCAAACGAAAATGGCATTATTTTTGACAGTATCTTTCCAAAACCCTCCTACCACCCTTTTATAGTTTTGACAAACTGGACATCCTGCCATAAACTTAGAATGAAATGTTTTACTCACTGTAAAACTGGGTTAAAAGAAAGTATTTTACTTGAAAAAAAAAAGATTCACTTCACCTTTAACTGAGTTACATGCAGCACCATTTCAGGTTTCTGACAGAACTGAACCTTCTTTATGAAAAAACAAAAGATAATCAAACATGTTTCAGCATCCCAAGGGGTCAAAGGTCAGCTGTATAAAGATTCTTTTATTTAGGTGCTGTGATGTCACGCTATCACTCCCTAACTGGCCACTTCCTGTTTTGTCCTCCCTTTCCAGAAACCGAAAGTTCCCCTGGTGTTCATCTCCTTCTAACCCCTCGTTTAGCATTTCACTCTCTTTCTTCTTCTTCTTCTTCTTCTCTTCTGTAATGAATATATATATATATATTAGGCTACAGTATAACAATTCTTAAGATACCAATGGGATGACATTAAAGGTTAAACCAAAATGCAGAAAATGGAAATTGATTTGTGGTCCAGATTTAAGAATTCATTATCACTCTCGGCTCTTCCCTATGGTCCTGTGGACTTAGGGATCACCATATCAGTGTCATTGAGCTGGCAGTCAAATGGAGCTCATACATCTTTTTCTGTGCTAACGTGCCATTCATTTACATACCACCTTACTTTTTTTTTTCTATCTCTCTGGGTTTATTTTCTTCTGTGCACTTTTCCATGCCATTATCCTTCTCTTCCTTCATATCACTGATTTTTCTCCTCTAGCTGTCTCGTCCCCTCCCTTTCCTGCTGTCCTCCGTTCTCTCCACAGGTGAACAGTAAAATGCTGTCAGACTGAATCATGTATCTGCTTTAATCATATATTATATAATGACAAACACCATCATGTACAATCAAGCCACTGCCTTCCTCACACACATCTAATCTCTTACAGGATCAAACTAGCAGATTTCCAATCTTGTATTGTTTATGTTCTTTCTGTCTTTATTGCCTTTCTTCTTTCTTTCTTTCTGTCATCGGTTTCAGTATACGCTCCTCTATTTGTGCTCCTCTGTGTGCGTCTCCTGTCAGCTTCACTCTTTCTCTTTCACTTCTTTATTTTCTTGGTTCTGTCAGTGTAAACCCAGTCCACCCTCCAATATCCAGTGAACTGAATGCAGGTTGATAAAGATTCTATGGGCTGCAGACTAGAACTAAGATCTCAGGACTTTAAAATCCCATAGCAGAAACTTGCTGTATAGTTTTACATGAGTTTAAAGTGTATTTATATTACAAAAGCAGTAAAAAAAAAAAACTAAACCTTTCTGTGACCTATTTCTAGATTTGATGTCACAAAGAACTTAAAGGAATATTTTTGGGTTAAAAACAAGTTAAGTTCTGTCAACAGAATTCTAAATTCTGTGGTAATCAAGTTTAACTTGTATTTATTCTGGAATATTCCTTTAAAGGTGAAGTGATTAATTTATGCACTACTAGTAGCATCAAACGAAAATGGCATTATTTTTGACAGTATCTTTCCAAAACCCTCCTACCACCCTTTTATAGTTTTGACAAACTGGACATCCTGCCATAAACTTAGAATGAAATGTTTTACTCACTGTAAAACTGGGTTAAAAGAAAGTATTTTACTTGAAAAAAAAAAGATTCACTTCACCTTTAACTGAGTTACATGCAGCACCATTTCAGGTTTCTGACAGAACTGAACCTTCTTTATGAAAAAACAAAAGATAATCAAACATGTTTCAGCATCCCAAGGGGTCAAAGGTCAGCTGTATACAGATTCTTTTATTTAGGTGCTGTGATGTCACGCTATCACTCCCTAACTGGCCACTTCCTGTTTTGTCCTCCCTTTCCAGAAACCGAAAGTTCCCCTGGTGTTCATCTCCTTCTAACCCCTCGTTTAGCATTTCACTCTCTTTCTTCTTCTTCTTCTTCTTCTCTTCTGTAATGAAACTACCTCCCTTATTCTGGTTCCTCATATCCGTTAAACTCATCTGACCATTCCCACCTAACCCACAAGCCCTTCTTTTTCCTTCTCCCCTTTCTCGTTCTCATTCTTGCTTTCTTTTTATTCCTCTATTTCTCTCTCTCTCTCTCTTTCCTCCCGTAGTGACTCACTCCTCCCCTCTCCACACTCCCTCTCTTTCCAGGCTTTGGCTGTGACGGATCCGGCCAAGCTGAAAGCGGCAGCGTCAGAGAAGAAGAAACAGGAGTCTCGCAGGGAGAAGAAATAGGGATTGTGGAGCAGAGAGCTAGAGCTCCTGAGCGGGGCCTCCTCCACCCAGACCCAAGCCCAGGAAGAGGCAGCGGGGATGGGCAGGCAGGGCAGGGTTCTTATGACCATTGAGCTAGAGCTCACTAAACAGGAGAGAGAGGGAGGGCAAACTAAAACGAGTCCCGCTGCGGTCTTTTCTCAACTCGCGCGCAAATTCACTCTCAAGTGAGAGAGACAGGTATGAAAAGGGGGTGGTGGAGAGTTTTGGAGGCAAGGAGATAAAGATGAATCCTTAAAAACCGGAGGACAGGAGAGGGGTGAAATTTGTCTCATTTGAATTCAATTCCAAATGAAAAAAGTGTGGTTCCACAAAAAAAAAAAAGACTGTGTCCAATCTGTGTGCGGCACGATAAAACTACAAACACAATATCTATGAATTTACTTGCAGCTGTGACAAGATATTTTATGATTATAATACATAATTATTATATAATCTGATATCATGTGGGTTGTTTGTGTTCTGTCCTTGCTGTGTTCATCTATGTAGCTCCGCCCACATTAAAATCTAATTAATTCAAAAGCACTCTCCGCATTCAGTGAGGTTCAAAATTCTGCATAGCTTCTACTGTATTTTGCATTTTTTTATTTCAGTACATTTTGATGATAAACTATATAATCAGCTTAACAATTTGAAAGAAAATTTTATTAAAAAAAATGAATAAAAAAAATGTATATGAATTTCAGAATCTGTTAGTATTTGATTTGTCCCTCTTTTGCTTAAGAGCAGCATTCGAGCTGCTTGAACTCCACAAGTTTGTGTAAAACCTGATTTGAGATGGTCCAAACGTCATCTTGAGCTCAAGTGGAAGCAAGAACATCTTACTGTACAAATTTTGTAAAAAGAGTTTGCATGCACGATATTTCTCATTACTACAAATAGTGCATCATTTTAAGTCCTAAATCCTAAAACCTTCTGGCATGTTTCCAGGTTTACATTAGCTCAAATCCCAGGTTTTCATTGTGGACTTTTGAACCCCACTCGAGTCGTATATTGTACATACATCTGTTCTGTGAAAATGCGCTCAGTTTTTGCTTTCAGGGAAAACAAGTTGTTGTGTTGCAACCGGTTAGGACACAGTCTTTTTTTTTTTTTTTTTTTAAATCACACATTCACAACAAAACCCAGAGCTTTGAGCCATCCATTACGCACACACTGACAGTTTGTGAGAGCTGTAATAGTGGCAGAATGGTTTCCTCTTGTTAAGTGACAGACCGCTCTCTCTCTCTCTCTCTCTCTCTCTCTATATATATATATATATATATACACATACAATCTTATACAAGAACACAATCCAAGCTGTACACTTTTCACACTTTGTACTTTTGTTAAAAAATTATTTTGGAAACTTTATATTAACTGCCTTTTTTCTCATTCCCTCCCTCTTTCTTTGTTTTACTGCCTGTCTCTCTGTTTTTTTTTTCTGTCTTTGGTCTTCCTATTCTCTAATCTCTCTCCCTTATAGCACTTCTGACACCTTTTTTGTCTTTTTTCTACTTTTCCATCTATTCTTTCACCATTCTTGTTATCTGATATACTGGTGCTATTACATCACTTCCTGTAGGCCGGCCCCCTAAAGTAGCCTCCCTCCCCATCCTTCTTTTACTGAAAGCTAAATATAGCACTAGTTTTTTTTTTTAGTCATGGAAACAAACACACTTCCTCACTGTTAAAATTTAATTTCAGTCACATAAAATTTGTTCACATTTCATCCAACACACACTAACACTCATGGCGTCATCTCATGTATCCCATCAAGCAATTTTAAGTGCTATCACAATAGGGTTTTTTTGACAGGAATTTGAATCTGACTTAGAGTTGTGGTGTGTTTTTGCTCTGACTGCAGTGACTGAAATACCCAAAATGACGTTGATACTGTTGGCAGAGACATTCAAACACACACGCTGTGTGAGAGTTACTTGATACTCTAAGTCAAATTCTCACGTCTGTCCGCATAAGCTGTTGTCTGACAAACAGCTGATTATTTTAACACTCTCTTGTAACTGGAGAACTATCTATGTCTTCCTTCTGTCCAGTGAGGGCCGGCTCCTACAGTTGCACTTTTTCCCCAAACATCTCCACACATATCATTGGCAAGGCCCATCGCTCCAACCAGAGTCATAGTTTTACTTCTCCTCTCTCTAATCCTCCTCTAACTATCATGAATACTCATCCACCACCACCTCTTCTCATCCCCTGTTTCTGCTGGTAAGAATACCCAAGTGCTCTCTCCTGCCCCCCTGCTGCCCACAGGAGAAAACATTTTCATTCGGCCGTACTGTCGCAAAGATGTCAATGCAAAAAATGGAAGTTCTTTTAGCTAGCTCTCTGCTGACTACGATAGATGCGTGTTTTTCACGATTTTTGCATGTGTGTTTTAAGTCTGACGATATGTCTGTAACCTGTCAACGTGTTTGGGGAACAAAACGACATAAAAACAACATTCGTCACGTCATCGTTAGTAATGACAAGCTGTGCAGCAGCACCCTGGGACTGTTTGTGTGTTGGAAGCAAATGTAATAGAGTTTAATGATGTTTAATAATATTTCTACACTTTCATTTGACTGACATGGCAGATTTCATGTGGTTGTTTCTTCATGACAGTGTTTACCATCGGGACGTTGGCATGTTAAGGCTACGGGAAGTGATGCTATGAGGGTGGACAGTTTTTTGGAAGTTTTTGAGAGAGAAATAAATTATAAAATACTGGGATGAAGACTTGGACTGAACTCATATTCAGGTGAAAAGTCATGCCAAAGTACAATAAACATCTCAGTCTCACAGGATATGTTTTTCTGTTCAAGTCTTCATGTCTATGCATGTCAGCCCCAAACCATGCATGGTCTCTCAGTGGGAATGCTAGGAAAAGCTATAGAATTGCAAGGGCTTGTGGGAAATATGTTTGTTAGCCTACAGACAGATGCTTTTTATGCATCTCAGAGTAAATGTCGAGCAGCCACATGGTACCTGCCATTAAACTGTGTTTAAATATTGGGGAATTCCCATGTTGTATGTATTGGGCACCTGTATTGGTACAGGTCTAGGTAACCGTTCTTTCTTGAAACTCCATTAAAAAGTCTAATTATTTTGTACCTTTATTTTGGCTTTAACACAGCTAACTTTGGTTTTCTGTAAAATGTCTTGTAAAAAGAAAAATCTCAAGTTTAAATAATTTCAGAAAAACGTCAATAAAAAAATCAGATCCCTTATGTGTTTTTGTGTGCACTGAAAGAATCACCTGAATAACCATCAGTGATGCAGATGAGTAAATAACTCTATAAAGTATGGTTTAGATGTAGACTAAAAGATACATGTATTAATGTAAGAACTGCATAACTGGGCAAGTTGAAAATGTAAAAAAAAAAAGTTCATAAATTCGTGTGACTCTTGTTTACTTTTATGTCGTGTGTTGTTTTGGCGCACGGGCTAGTCAACATCGTTTTTTTATGTATACTTTTACAGACATGTGAAAGAGCTAATAGTATAAATAACGCCAAAATTATGTTTTCTCAATTTACTGTAGCCTACTCTTCAATAAAGACCCAGCGCTCGAGCGCCTCCTGTTGCTATGGTTACTACCTCTGGCGAACGCATACCAGGTGAATATATGTGTGAATATAACATTATGGATAGTAAAATGTTTGAAGATGCAGTTAAAAGGTTTCTTATGCGCTGTAGAATTAAAACAAATTCAAGATTTTCGCATTTCAAGATCAGGCTGCCAAAGAGGACGTGAAACGTTCAAAAATAACGCATTTTAGTTGTCAACAAATTGTCAGTAGGCCTAAAAGCGCGTGCTTATGTTTATAAAATCCGTTTATTCTTTTTCATTCTATTTGATTCTATTTTCTATGGAGTTTAAATCCTGTTTTACTTTTTAAAACCCTTATTTTTCTAGCAATAAACATACAAAATTAAGTAAACATCAAAATTAAATGCTTAATACGCTTCTTTGTAACGAGAAAAACATGGGGCAACAGGTTCACACATCAATGAATTTTATATAATATCCCATAATTATACTGAAGGTTCACAGAAGCATGTAGCCTCCACTTTCCATAATGGAAGAAGTTCGGAACAACTAGGACACTTACTAGAGCTGGCTTCCTGGCCAAACTGAGCAATTGACAAAGAAGAGCCTTGGTTAGATTGGTGACCAAGAAGCTGATGGTCACTCTAGTTGAGCTCAATGATCATATGTCGAGATGGAAGAAACTTACAGAAGGACAAACATCACTACAACACTCCACCAATCCGGTCTTTATGGCGGTGTGGCAAGACTCAATCCTCTCCTCAGTGAAGACGCATGAAAACCCACTTGGATTTTGCAACAAAGCAAAGAACTCTCAGATTGTGAGAAACTGTCTGTTGAGCCTCGATTCATAGCATAATGTATGGAGGAAACCAGGTACTGCTCATCACCTGCACAGTACCATCCTAACAGTAAAGTGTGCTGGTAGCAGCTTTGAGCTCTGGGGCTGTTTTTCAGCGGCAGGGACTGAGGGACTCGTCAGAGTATAAGAAAAGCTCAACACAGCAAAATATAGAGATAGCCGTAATGAAAACCCAGTCCAGAGCATTCAGAACCTCAGACTGGGCAGAAGGTTCACCTTCCAACAGGACAATGACCCGAAGCACACAGCAAGAATGGCTTATAGACAACTCTGTGAATGTACTTGAGTGGTCCAGCCAGAGCCTGGGCTTGAACCCAATCAAATATTTCTGGAGAAACCTGAAAAAGTCTGCCAGAACTTCAGAGGTGAAGAGGCGAGAAGAATGGCAGATAATTGCCAAATGTTGATGTGTAAAGCTTGTCACATCATGCCCAAAAAGGCTCGAGGCTGTAAAGGTGCTTCAGCTAAGGGTATGAATACTTATGCAGTGTACTTATTTCAGTGATTTATTTATGATAAATTTGCAGAGTTGTCACAAATCTGTTTTGTGCTTTGCCGATGTGTATGGAGTGTAGATTGATGTGGAAAAAAGTAATTTAAAGCAGTTTAACATAAGGCTGCAACATAACAAAACGTGAAAAAATTATGAATACTTTTGCAAGGCACTGTATATCTATATATTTTAGTGTCAAGTGTTCAAGAGACAGTCAGTAAACTACATAATTTTTATTAAGTACATAATAATACACTATAACCAGTGCACACAGACTGTCTCTGCAAAGTTTAGACCATTTTGATCTATAAACCATTAGCCTGAAAAGAAAAAGAAACAGAAAAAAGTTAGATGTCCTCCACAGAGACAATAAATAGTGTAGCACGTGAAGTTCATGTGGTTTATCACTGATTTTTACGTCAGCCGAGTATCACTGCCAGGCACAGCGGGTCATGAGAGCAGCTGCTCTCTCTGGTCCGGTCCTTAATGGATCTGGCAGAGACGTTGATGGCAGTTGTAGTTCCCAGCCTTCTCAAGGCTTGATTTAGATGGCAAAGAAATCCTCAAGCTACATCATCACCAACAGATCTCTGTAATGGAGAATTCAGGCCGTCTCGCTTCCTCTGCCCTTCTAACAAGCATAAAATTAATGATGATAATATAAGGGAGAGAGAAAGAGGGGGAAAGCGGTAGCAGGTGCAGGTATACAGAGCCGTAGGCATGAAAGTTGTGTGTGTGTCTGTAAGTTTTTAAGGGCAGGGGGTGGGAAGTGAGCTTCGGGTTACCCTGAGGCACAAATGGGGGGAGAGAACGGGCTGTGTGTGTGTGTGTGTGTGTGTGTTATGAGGTGGAGAATGGGTATGTTGCCTCCAAAAAAAGCCACCAGTGTCTTCCACACATGTGAGGGGAGAGTGGGAGAAATCTGGGTGTCAGTTCATTAACAACGAGCATGGGAAAAGGGGTGAGTGTGTCTTCCTGTGGTGCTTCATCAATTATTCTGTCTATCCTTTTCTCTTGCCGGCTTTCTTTCTTTCACTCACAGATTGTTATGAGTGTCGTGTACCCTTAAATAATGTATTGTTTAGTATCACAGTGTTCCTTATGAATACAGCATGATTATGTAGGAATATGTTTGTGTGGGAGATAAGTGACAAAAAGGAGGTGAAAGGTGAATATCACAAAGAAATGTTTGGGTGATGTGCCATAACAAAATTGAAAGAACAAAAATGTAAGTCTAATTTGCATTTAAGAGAATAAATAATGTTTTTAAAACCATTAAAATGATTAATGTTATGACATTATTTTTAAGACAATTAAGCTCATTTTCATTTGTACTATTGCTATAGTGTAAAAAAAAAGTCTTATTACCGTAGTACAAGAAAATTGATGAAAAAAATTAAATCAGCATTATGTTTCCTTACAATTGTGCTTTACAAATCCCACTTTTAATAACAATTTAAAAAATAAAAATATATATGTATTATTGAATAACAAATTTAATTTACAATTTAATAAATAATGTAATATAATAAAAAAGTAACATTAAAACATTTTTCACATTGCTGTAATGACAATGAAATGATTGAGGAAGGAGAAATGGGGCTTATGAATTACATAATATGTCACAATGCAAACAAAAGTTTAAAATTAATTTATAACTGATGTTTAATTTTGGGGTGGGAAAATATGACCTGAACATTTCCTGACATTTTTTTTTTTTTTCTGAGATTCACAGTGGAAGCTGCATCTAATTTATAATGTTTGTGAAAAAATAAGTTGTTGTCTGTCTGTGATATCCGAGATGTATGTGATTATCTGAACATTATTTTACTGATAAGATGCTGTCTGTATCCTCATAATGAGACCGAGAGGTGTGATAGATCAGGCTGGCTTATGTTTGATTGGTATTAATATGAATTAATTCCGAAAAGGGGTCTGATTTAAGGCGTAATGAATGATCTTCTCTTTGTTCCACATGCTGCTCTATCTGTACTCGTGTCAGACACACACGCATACAGTCACAGCTGAATAAGAGTGACAGGACCAGGTGATTTCCATGACACCCTGTTCCAAGTGTGTCAGCGCACCGCACACTTTTCCTGCCAAACACGAGCACAAATACACTACTTTACATGAACCGATATGCTTAGGCACACTCAGTGTTTGATAACACTGTCAAAGATATGTCATAGTTTTACATAGCTTGTCGTATGTAGTTTTAAAGGCATGACTATGACTGCATTAATATTATGGTGTTCATTAAAGTACAGAGCTACATTTCAGGTGAAAAGTTATGATTCAGTTATAAATATTCAGCTGACTAACAAATATGTGCAAACATGATATGAATTTACCTTTAGGAAAGAAAAATCTCAGCTGAAGATTTATTAATAGTGCACTTGTTTCCCCTAGATAGCAATGTGTAAAAATATTTCTTAATATTTACCTAATATAGACTTAATATATATAGTATTTCCCAAATTTTTGAGCAGTATATGAAGATTTTTTTAATGATTTGAAAGAATCTTCTTATGTCCAACAATGCTGCATTTATTTAATCAAAATACAGCAAAAACAGTAATATTGTGAAATATTTGTTCAATTTAAAATAATTGTTTTCTGTTTTAATATAGTTTCAAATTAAATTATTCCTGTGATGTATTACAAATTCATTACAAATAAAAATAGAAAAAGTGGGAATTTATATATGAAACTGAGAAGTCTCATAAGCTATGAAGGAGCAACATCTGAGTAATAAAATTTTATTCTTTGGGTATTATTCTCTCTGTCTCAGACTGGCCATGAAAGCAGCCCTGAGGCTGCTCCAACGGGAGGAAAGAGAAAGATGAAAGATAAAGATTTAGATGAGCTGAAGAAAGAGGTGGCACTGGTAAGAAGTTATTATTTTGTGTCTGTGCATATGTATTCATGAAAAAAGAGAGAAAGTGTGTGAGCCTGCAGGTATGAGAGTGTAAGAGATGATAATTAGAAATCAAACAATGAAATTGTCTCTAAAAGAATGTGATACAATTTGATGATCCAACTAATTGGCAAACATGAAGTGTTGTATTATATCTGATGTTCTTGTATGTGTTTCTACAGGATGATCATAAGCTGTCTCTAGATGAGCTCAGTACCCGTTATGGAGTTGACCTTGCCAGAATGAGTCATCTTTACTTTCACCCTCGACATTTGCAATAATGAATCAGATATTTTTCAAATCGTGATGACATTTTACCCACCGGCACATTCAAGCAGCGCACCCATGGCCAACTTAATAAGGCTTTGGAATATATATTATTAAGTGCTTTAATAATATATATTCTGGCCCACTAACAGCTTTAGCTAAATAAATATAAAATTTTTAGCTATTATGTGATATTTTGTAACTTTTTGCTGCAGCTTAGTTTACTGGTTTAAGCTTGTCTAGCTGGTATCCACCAATTGTTTTC